CTCCTCCGCCGTACTGCTGCGGGGTGTTGGCCTGCCCGTACGAGTGGACCCACGGCGGCCGCTGGCTGTAGCCACCGGCCGGCGGCCGGGGCGGTGGGGGCCTAGGCGGCATGCCAGCTGGCCTTCCGACATCAACACGCGAAGGACAGAACAGATGGTTGTGGCCGAGTTCACCGCAGTTCTCACACCGCTTGCGACGGTCATTCGGGTGGATGGGAGGTTCATTTCCCTGCGGGCGGTACATGTGGGGGGGGGAAGGCGCTGTAGTCGTAGCCCCGCTGAGGTAGAGGGTAGGCGGGGAGGTTGCTGCCCGGCGGTCCCTGGTGAAAAGGGCCCCTGCACCTCCCACCAGAAGCGGCGCCACGCCCCCCAAATCTTCCTCCTGCCGGCTGCTGCTGATGACGTCCTCCTCCAGAAAACCCCGGCCCCCATGCTGGGGCCCGTGCCTTCCGCCGTAGCTCGCACCTTGGCCGCCCGAGGGGCCTCCCCAACCCCGCTGTAAGCGACATTCCTCGTTGCTGTGGGACGACCAGTTGTGGAGGCACAATATTTTATTTCAGGCGGGTACGGCGGCGGGTATANCTCAGGCGGGTACGGCGGTGGATATACCTGTTGCTGCTACTTCAAGTACGGCTGATGCTGCTGCTGTGGCTGCTGCGGTTGTTGCTGCTGTTGCCGCGCTGCCGTCCTCCGTTGTCCTCTCGTCTTCCCCGGTCCCCCCGTGTTCCCGCCCCCACCACCACGGTTATCACCGCCAGTGACGAGGGCATACGCCCCCACGCTCTCCGACGCCCTCTTCCTAGCGGCCTCCGTCTCCGCTCAGGCAGTCAGAATCACATTTTCTACCAATTCCGTCTTGACCTCCGAATGCGCCAACAACACGCTCCTCTGCACATTGAAATCGGGCAGAAGGTTGCGTACATAGTGGACGTTAGCATCATGATCGGATTGCACCCAACCTGTCTCTTATACACATCTAGATGTGTATAAGAGACNCACATTCGCATATTTTCACCCAAATTTCTCACGAGTGATGTCCACTTTTCTCCAATGTCAGGTATTCAAGAATGAATGTGGGATTAAGGGCAATGCAGCAGCTGGGATACGATTGTTGAAATGGGATTGATCAAGTTAAATGGAGCTGGAATCTGATTGTTGACATGGGAGAGATAAGAATCCAAAACGAACGTAACACGTTGCAGGGACTGAAATCTTATCCGTTCGTTGGCTGAGTGTGTTGGTCTGTTTCTCCCGTCAACGTTCCTCTCTTCCTTGGCCCGTGTGGCTTCCTTTCGTCTCGCGAAAAACAGAAACTGGCGAAATCCTACCTGCTTACTTGAGATACGGTGTGCTTTGTTTTCATGCTGCTGAAGCAGCCGCCAAAAAACGGCACACGTTGGGTTGTGGCCAATTCTCATTGAGGATTTTAGTACACATCTCTGCGTACTAGTTATTCGTCAATTGTTACAATAACGAAAATATCGAATCTGAAACATCGTTTTTCCGAACGCCGGCGTCAATACCATAGACATGCATCAGCACCGTTGGAAACTTGTTGCCTCACGCCGCATACACTATTCTCGCCATTATCTCGGATGTGCCTACAGTGTGGTGGCCCGCTCATAGAAACCCCTATTATTGAGCCTGGCCCAAACCTTATTTTGTCCCACTGAGCAAAGGCTTCTTCTATCTATGTTCCGTCGCCAACACCGAAAAATAACAAATTAAATACCCCCCACACAACCAAAACAACACCCTCCTCTAGACTTGTAATACAGGGGGGGTAATTCACGCAGCGCTGGCCGCTATGTATGCTCAATTTCTTTAGGCATTCTCCGTCAAAAATTTGAGCCTCGGTTTCTTACGAACATGTTTCTTGCGAGCGGGCCGGGACTGTATTGTTTGTTTGCAACGCTGTCGTACGAAGAACCGCCGGCGGCGCGGAGTGCAGTAAGGTGGCGGGAGTTAAAAGGGCTGAGTGCAGTAGCACAGAACGCGCCACCACTTAAGAAGGTTTTCTTATATTGAGGTAAGGCTCGTTGCATGTTGTGTCTACGTGGGCTACCCCGCATGGCGACTCTATGTAGGCTTTCGCACTGAGCACCTGTTGTTTTGGCCAAGTTCTTAGATTTAGGAGTTTTTTGAGATTCAAGTTCTTAAATGCTACCGGAAAGTTCGTAAGTGGGTGGCGTTCAACCTCACTTCGCCGGGGGCGCCTGCTGCCTAAGGTCCAACAGCACGGTGGCAACGCCCGAATCGCGTGCCCTTTCATGTCATCCAAACCCTCACCCTATCCCTACTACTAAACGCATCCCTCCGATGCACGCGAACGGCAGCCTGTGCTCCTGCTACAAATCAAGCTGGTCCAGAGTGAACGCTCTACTTTACACTGGCACCCATGGCAACAGTAGATCGCACACTCGCATCATCAACTCCCTGTCCACGCTTTGGTAAAACTATCGCGTTTGTTTCTCTCTTTGTCCACGCACACTACACCCGGCCCATTTGTGAGCTTCCCGGCTGGTCTCTCTTTCCAGCCTCGATTGCCGCCAGCAACTCCCTCAGCGATTCTGCCTTGATCCCCGACGAGCCGCCTTTGAGGTCTTGGTTATTCCCGCGGTAGCGTACCTGAAGAAATCGAAGCCCGAATCGTTGTTGTTGTTGTTGTTGTTGTTGTTGTTGTTGTTGTTGTTGTTGTTGTTGTTGTTGTTGTTGTTGTTGTTGTTTCGAAGGCAAGACACGTCAAAATCGGGCCGACGTGAACTTTCTTAGTACTTCGGCACCGCCGAGCACTGGTGATTATTCGGTACTATAGAGTCAAGTGTTGGACCCCCCGGTGACGTATGCCTCTTACACCTATTTTCTTATTGCTCGTCAAAGCTGAGCCTCTGTTTCGTAATGAAATATTTCTTAACTGCGGGTCGCCTGTGTACGCTACTGCTGATGTGATACCGTACGTCCCATGACGTAAGATATCATACCCCCTGGATCGACGTAAAGAGCGGCGTTGCCGAGAATGGCGAAGTTGGAACCGTCTCGTCGAGAGCTCCACAATATGAAACCGTGAGAATCATACCCCTCTGGCCGAAAATTCAGAGTGGAAACAGGGCAATTCGGACTCAAGCGCGAACAGGTTGACATCAAAGATTGTTGGGTGCGAGAATATCAACTAACGGTATTCCAATGGTTCTGAAGCGTTAATCTATATCTGTAAATCGTGGGCCCGACATGGGACCACGTGAACTCTTCAACAAAGAATACCATCTAACGGTATTGTATTGTAACGGTTCTGAAGCATTGGTGCCATACCTGTAGATCGTGGGCGCGACATGGGAACACGTGAAAACCTCCGTCGTTCGCGTGGAACCGCGGCAACTGCTGTGGCGACGACAAAGGCGGCGCTTCCTGCTGCCACGGGTGCCCTCCTTGCGGCGGCTGTGGCCGTGGAGGATGCTCCTTGCCCATGGCCGTGGCGACTGACGCCGCGCGCCCTCGCCGTTGCCCGTATTGTTGCGGCTTCGGCTGTGACTGGTCCAGCCTGAGCGTGACGTGTGCTGCGTGAGCTCGGGCTCGCACGCGCACGGTGCGTTCGCCCTGATTGTTGAGGCAGCACAGAAGACAAGCGCACAGGGGACGCACGAAGCATTAGGAGAGGCTAGAGGGGGTACTAGGAGCAAGGGAGGGATACCGTAAAGACGCGAGACGAGGCACGGAGGTTCGATCGATATTTGCAATACCTTCCCTTGGGCTCTTATAGCACGGATGTATGATATCACCGACGCGCGCGTTCTCTCGGACCCTTCCGGTACTCATGGTATCCCGTGTACAAGATCATGTGTATCGTCGGTCCACATAGAGCGCCTATGTTCTTGAATTGCAGAGACGGAGGGTGTCATTGAATCATCAGCATGAAAAGGTCCTGTGCGGCTGATGCGTCCAGAAAAAAACCAAATGGTGCAAGGGCCGTTTTATTCAGCAACAGCTATTTCGCTTCCAAATTTCCAACATTTCTAAATCCGTAGACCGTTGAAACTCGATTTGCGGCCGACGGAATAATTTGGAAACAACTGGCACCGAAAAAGATGGAACGACTTCGATGGAAAAAATAATGAAAATCTGGAAAGTCGGAAGTTGGGGAAATTTGGGGAAAAGCGTCATGAACAACACACCTCTAAGGATCGACATCCAACCAACGTGAATGGGACCACACCCACACGTAGTCTTTGCAGAAGCTTGGCACTAGCTCATGGTTCGTGGGCGATATCAAATCGGCATGCAGAACCCCTCAAGGAAAACACGAGTCGACCGGACGAATCCAAAATTTGGAACGTCAAAAACCACGGATTTCATCCAATGTGCACCACTTGATTTTTCTTAGCGCCGGGCAAACACTTCAGGCGAGGACTCCGACCCGACGCGACAGGAGACCTAATCCAACCTAATACTTGCACAATTTGATCCTCGGTATGGCGACCGTACAAAAAAGGTTGGATGGTAGGAGAGCAGAGGGACGGCCGCGGCGGCGGCGGGGGGATACGCCTTCTGAGTGACCCCGTAAGGGGTGTACGTGCGGAGAGATCGATGGAACGCAACACAAGGAACATGGTGAGTGCCAAGGATTGGTTGAAGAAGACGGTGGGATGTACAAGATGTATGCATCCCGCACACGTACAAGAGGGGTGATGAGGACCAAGGCTCGGACCAAGGCTGCGGGAGTGGATAAGATGTATGCGTAAACAAAAATTTCTTATATTCCGGCTGGGGTGCACAAGATTCTAACTAGGCAAGACAACGCACGCTTTTGAAGCGTTCTTCACATGCGTCAAAGAGTCACCTCCGTCTGTTGTCGGACAGCAGGCCTTTGAGAATAACCTTCGGGATGCCAATACCCCTGGGATCTGTAGTGAGGGAACTGGTGCCTCCAGAAAAAATACATACCTCATGGAACTCTGCCGCCTCCGCTCCTGTTGTCGGCAGCAATTCCCAGGAGAGCCCGGTCTCCGGCAGGTCGTCCACCGTCACCGATTCCACCGCATTCGCCGAAGGCAAGTAGTACACGCTCTCCAACCTTGGGGGTGTAAGGGGGCGGACGCGGTGGTCGACGTTATAGCATAATATTGCTTGATCGTCATTCACACGGGTGTGGTGGGGTGGACAACTCTCTCGCTGCTGTTCGATGAGAATCACTGCCGACGCCGCTCCGTCTTGCTCTGGACACGGCCAACTCCCATTCTACGTTCTCTTCTGTGTTAATATTCTTGCGGACAACTCGCTGCCTGCGTAGCCATCGATCGCCAAATGTTGCCCCCCAGGGGCGGTGTTCATGTACATGTACCGCGCGAGTGGCTAGATGTCGGGGACATGACAAAGACACAACAGCAACAACATCGTAAAGCTGCCCCAACATTTCGCCACGACTACGCGCACCTCTGGACGGCCATTGGAGGGGCGTCATTGCTTGCGCCCGCTTCCACTGTCTCCTCAAACACCATGTGCACGATCATCCTGGAATATTTGCGTGCACGTTGTCGATAACGAGTCCATCTAAGTCATTGTTACAGCGTTTGGAATACGTGTGCGATGTTGGTTGTTTCCTGTTGTCACTCATTCTTGTGGCACACGTACGTCGTTGTTGTAGTTGTTGTTGTTGTAGAAGTAGTGGTAGAAGAAGTAGTAGTTGTTGTTGTAGCTGTTGTTGCCGTTGTTGGTGCTGGTACTTTTGTCCCTCACATCAAAACCGGGGCGATCTTTGTTCCGTGCCAAGTGCACCACCCCAATAGCGGTATACATTGTGCGTAGAAGGATGGAGCGCGGGGGGGGTTAAGTTACCTTCGAGACAGCGGCGAGGAGTTCAGGGAGGAAAGCTAAACTCGTGCTTCGTTTCTAACAAAGCATCGGCGCTCTCTAGACGTGTGGCAAAAAACACACACCAAAAGCTTTTCTCTACAGCAGCGAGCTGCCACCCAATATCGTGAAACGAACACACACGTGTAAGAAGCAGCCAAGGTGACAGGAGGTCGCATTTCTCCCCCAACATGCGTTGTGCAATCTACGGTTGGGGTTAGGATATCATAGTGTCTGTATTTCCTACGCACGCGTTGAACTTTGTAAAACAACCAAATTGGCCCGCTTCAGCGGTCTTGGTGACCCTTCTTCGCACGCAAAGGGGTTCGGTTGTGTCTGGCATACTCGTATGATATCCTCTGTCTCGTGTTGCACACTTGGTTCGTAACCCTTGTGATTGAAACTGCGCCGCTCCATGCACACCAGCGCACGCACCGCAGTAGCATCATCAGCCAGGCATCGCCCTGCTCGAGCAAGCCCTTCTCCCCCAACATGCGTTGTGCAATCTACGGTTAGGGTTGATCATGCGATTGGATGGGGGCAGACGTTGAACAGGGTCGACTGCCGGCTCCGATATACAGGAATAAGGGTTCGACCGGCACCAGGCATTGACAACAAGTGTGCAGCTGCTTTGCAGGGATATCGCCGGACTCGCTGCAAACCTAAAACGGTTCTGTTCTGGTGCTGCCACGACCGGTGGGGTAGATGGCTACAAGTAGGGTTTCAATGGGAAGATCGAGACGAGCCAATATCACACTCCCTTACAACCAATGGACATATGATCTCATGTTATTGTACAGCGGTCATATATGTGAGTTGCGAACGACCGGGGCAAATTTCTTTCACTCTAATCCCGCAACTTTTTCATACCACCTATTAAACTCTGGCCGCTACTACTTGTAGTTCACTTTCTCATACTGTAGCCGCTACTGCAGTCATTCACGCTCAAACACCCATGCCATTTACTCGTGAACCATACCCGCTATTATTGCCATTCATTCTCTAAACTGTAGCTATCGCCGCCATTTTCCCTCTAACACCGCAGCCGCTACGGCTATGGTTCACTCCATTCCATCCGTACCTTCTCGTACAAGTGTAACCGCTACTATTTGTAGTTCACTCTCTGAAACCGTAGCCGCTGCTAGATACTATAATTCCCTCTCATTAACCCACTTTCTAGGACCGCAGCCGCTCCTTTTGCCATTCACTCTCTTAACCCGTAGCCGCTGCTGCTGTCATTTTCACTCCCAAAGACCACAGCCACTAGTACCGTCAGTTTCCCTCTAAGGTCGAAGCCGCTGCTACTGTAGTTCCCTCTATTTCATCCGTCCCTTCTCTCAGAACCATAGCCGCTACGATTTGTAGTTCAACTCTCCTAAACCGTAGCCGCTCCTACATAGTTTAGTTCACTCTCATAAACTCACTCTCTTAAACGGTAGCCGCTACTACATAGCTTAGTTCACTCTCATAAACCTACTCGCTTAAAGCGTAGCCGGTGCTACATAGTTAAGTTCACTCTCACAAACCTACTTGCTCAAATCGTAGCCGTTACTACATAGCTTAGTTCACTCTCATAAACCTACTCGCTTAAAGCGTAGCCGGTGCTACATAGTTAAGTTCACTCTCACAAACCTACTTGCTCAAATCGTAGCCGTTACTACATAGCTTAGTTCACTCTCATAAACCTACTCGCTTAAAGCGTAGCCGGTGCTACATAGTTTAATTCACTCTCATCAACCCACTCGCTTAAACCGTAGCCGCTACTACAAACTTAAAGTCCACTCTCATAAACCTACCCTCCTAGAACGTGGCCGCTACTGCTGCAGTCCATGCTTGTATCCGTACATTTTATCCGCTGTGCAGTCAGCCCTCACAATATAGGATACCATCAGGATTGTCATTGGTTATATTTCAAGTTGAAGAGGAGATACTTTTACGATGTAAATGACAGTAGAAATAAGTCCTACATATGTTGTTGTACTTCGTATTGGTTTAATATTCATGTAGAGTATGAGACATTAAGTGAAAGTTTTCTGAGGTACATCTGCAATTGTCGGAAGGCAAAAAAAAATATATATATATATGTATATATAGTACCAAGGGCGCCCGCAGAAAAGTGAATACGACAACTAGGTCCTAGAGAGGTCGAAATGAAAAAAACATATGTGGTGCCGTAGATGCGAGAAAACTTGAAAAAACAACGTTTTTGGATGTTTTTATACTTGAGTTTAGCGTACCCCCCCCCGCGCCTCAGCGCTTCTGGAGGGGAAATAGGTGACAGAAATACCTTTCTCGGCACCCTTGATAGTACATGGTGAAGGAGGGACGGAAACTCGCCTCTACTGTTGCAGTTAATTCTTGCATCCATACCTTTTGTCTGGGTGCACTTCAGTCGCTTACGATGGTACATGGTGGAGGAGCGACGACAACTCACCTGTCGGTTCCGGCGGCCCTCCTCAGCTCCTCAGTGGTAGCTTGGAAGACGATCGTGGTGCTTCCCGGCGACATCGGGCCGACCGTCCCCCCCCACGAGGCTACCGGGTCGCAATTGTCGTCCCACAGGTACGCGCTCACCTACGTTATGTAGAGCGAGAAATTCGTTTCATAATTGTAATACTTCGGTGTTGCTCTATTAATGAAAAGATTATGCAAAGCAAGAAATTCGTTTCACACGTGTTTTCGGTGCTGGTCTTTCATGTGAAGACAAGAAAGTATTGAAGAATGTACAAACAATTGCAGAAAGACAGACTACCCGTTTCTATTGGCGAGATGTGGCATGTCCAACGCAGTCTTTGCAGTGAGTGGGAGAGAGATACTGATTTCATTTAGAAACACGTGCAATCGCAGAAAAAGCATCCGTTTGAGGTGATACCACGATCGAGGGCGATGTGTCAAAAGGACCCCTATTAGCATGTTCTTCGCGAAGTTGCAGGTGCCTCTGTCCACGAATGAGGCGGAAAGCGTTTCCGTTTCGCAAGAACAAACAAAAAATATTCATACCGCCCTTACCCTTACCCTTGCCCGAACCTTTCTTACCGTGTAGGAGCCAGAAATCCCTCTCTGGAGATCGGATGTCACGTGACACTCGAACCAAGAGACCTCCACATCGTCTCCAACGCCGTCGCCGGATTCCTCGGCGGTACGGGGACGCTTTACCACCGTCCCCCCTATCGAGACGATAGAAAAAGCACGCCTCACCATGTGGTGGGAAACCTGACATCAGGAAACAACGTCGAATAGTCCCAGGAAAGGGGACAGTGGATTCTCGGTGCTGGAAGAAGAACCAGCGGTCGAAAACTTCAGCTCACCATCGATCCGCAAAACAAGTGTTGCACATCGATGGGGAGAGGGTAGGGCGTGTTCTCTTGGAAACGTATACCGTAGTCGTTATAAGGCCATCGACCTCACATCCCAAGAATGCCGGGGACGGCGCGTTATACCAGGCTTTCGCCTGCCCAAAGCGGTACGTTTGACAAGGATGGACCAGAAGCTCTTTGGTCATCATCCTTGGCGTTTGCTGTCACAAAGCAGATACGCCATGGGTTAACGGACGTAGGAAGTCAACAAGAGGCTGTTTCGGCGATGATGAATCCTCCACGTATTCCATGGTATCGTGTCGAGAAACCGCCATGAAAGAAAACGCTAATGGGTTAACATGGTCCTCTACTCAATAACCGTTGTAGCCGCTACGGAAAACAAGAACGGCGACTATCGATGTTCGTCCAAATACCTTCCTTAAGGCCGCAGCCGCTAGATGCTGTAATCCAGAACGCAAAAACCATGTATTCTCGTCCACCATACGTTCCAAGCGCCGTCGCGCTCTAGCGTGCCATGCCAGGCGCTCTCTTACAGCCGTAGCCGCTCCAATATAAGCTGTAACTATGAGCATCCGCAAAGTTCCGAGCCAAAGCCGCTAGATGCTGCAAACAAGAGCATCAAACCTGTAGGCCGTAGCCGCGAGCTGAAACCAAGAACCCCAAGATGTAATGTTCGTCCACAGCACACACCTTCCAAGCGCCGTCGTGCTCGATCGTGCTCCAGCTAGGCCCCTGCCAGGTATCGGACAGCTGCCAGTACAGCACGCCCATCGTCCCCCTGGTGCTGCTCCTCGTCCTAGCCACCGCCGCCGCCGCGGCAGGGTTAGGGCTAGGGTAAGTCGCGCGCACAGCGGTCGCCGTGTCTGGTGGCATGTCGCCGAACCGCGCTCGATCAGCGTCCGAGAGCGCCCCCTCTCCTTGAACCATTCGGTGGTGGACGTTGTGTTCCGCCCCGCCGAGCATGCCCGAAGACGCGTCCTCTTCCAGGAAACCCGAGGCCGTCGCGGTTCTTCTTTTGCTCTGAGCTTCCGCCGCTGCTGCCGTCGATGTTGTTGTCCTTTTCGACATGTCATCCCTTCCGTTCTTATTGTTGTCATTGTTGTTATTGTTCTTATTGTTGTTGTTGCTGTTGTTGTCGCGATCTACGACGCCGTCGTCGTCATTTCTGTTGTCGATGCCGGCGGTTTCACTACTGCCGTCGCTGTTGCTGTTGCCTTCCCAAACCCTGTTGGTACCCCTCGCACCCTCTCCCTCGATGTTTGCTCCCCTCCACTTGCGTATGGCCGTCTCCAAGCACCTCCCTTGCTGAATCTGCCGTCACCCGCGGCAAGCCCGCGGCAAACCCGCGGCCCATTCAAGCACGAATTTCGCGTGTAGGTCGAGAAAGGCAGGAGGGCAGAGGAGGTTGATTCGGCCATCAGGGACGGAAGGAATCCATTGAACAACACGGACAAAGAGGAGATGAGAACGAGGGGAAATTGGAGAAGGGAAAACGCCGAGTTGAAACCGCTGAACGTTCATCGCTGGAAAGAAGTCTTGCGAGAATTGCGCCAAAAAAGGAGGTGCGATCAACACACAAAACAGGGAGAGGGGCAAGGGTAGGGTGGTGAGTGCACGACAACGAATGTTCAGATCTTGTCTCGGGGGACAGGAGTTTTGTTTTCTTTATTTTTCTTCACTTCGAATAAGCGCTCACAGCACTTGCGCTGTTCACTCCAACCGGTGGTCGGTCACACAGAAGATGACTTGTAGGTTCTGGATATTTCTCCTATGATATCATACTGCAATTTGGTCGAGAATGACATGCCGCCCATCGACCAGGCATCCCTCTGGGGGCAGGGAGGGTCAAAAACATCTCCTGCCAGATCCATGCCAATAGAGGGGCGGTTAGCGTACCTTCTTGTGTACGCGGATGGATCACAGCTTCAAGTTGGCTTGTTTTGATTTGTAGGGCACTGGGAGGGGTGTACTCATAGTCAAGCATGCCGTAGTCGTTAGACCATTGACCTCGCATCCCTACAAAGCCGGGACGGAGCACGCCGGGTTCTCACCGGACCAGGCTCTCACATCACCAAGCGCGAAGCGCCGTGAGATATTCGGCGAGTCGCATGAAGGGTGCGCTGCATCCTGCTAAGGGTGTTCGGCATCTTGTGCTTACTTCCTTGCGTACGGATGACAGCTGCGTATGACTTGAGTACTTGTCTGGTGCTTTCACTTCCAGAGACAGTTAAAGCCACTGTGAAACTGCGTCGAGGGTGCTTGACCACTTAACAGAACGTGGTGCGATCATCCCCCTTGCACGGAGTGAGGCTTCTCCACCCCGCACAACATGATCCACTCGACCACCGTTATGGTCACCGCTAAAGCAGAACAGAGGAACAAAACAACAACGGTGACCTGGTTGCCGAGCTCACGAAGTGAATTGGCTTGTTATACGACGTCGTTGCCAAGGGACGAAAACCCAACCCCGATGGCAAACGCCGGGGGGCGGGGGGCGTGTACTCATGGTCGTGCATGCCGTGGTCGTTAGACATTTGACCTCGCATCCCTACAAAGCCGGGACGGAGCACGCCGGGGTCTCACCGGACCAGGCTCTCACATCACCAAGCGCAAAGCGCCGTGAGATATTTGGGGAGTCGCATGAAGGGTGCGCTGCATCCTGCTAAGTGTGTTCAGCATCTTATGCTTACTTCCTTGCGTACGGATGACAGCTGCGTATGACTTAACTTATTGCCTGGTGCTTTCACTTCCTGAGGCAGTTGTAAACCCTGTGTAACTGCCTCGAGCGTGATTGACCATGTTACCACAACGTGGTGCGATCATCCCCCTTGCGCGGACTGAGGTTTCTCCACCCCGCACAACATGATCCACTCGACCACCATAATGGTTATCGCCGAAAAAAAACAGAGGTAAAACAAAAAGACGGTTACCTGGATGCCGAGCTCACGAAGTGAATTGGCTTGTTATACAACGTCTTTGCCAAGCGACGAAAACCCAACCCCGATGGCAAACACCGAGGGGGGCGGTTTGTTTTACAACTTCGTTGCAAAGCGACGAAAACCCAACGCCGATGGCAACCACCGGGAGAGGGAGGACAACATGATCCACTCGACCACCGTTATGGTTATCGCCAAAAAAAATAAGAGGTAAAACAAAAAGACGGTAACCTGGATGCCGAGCTCACGAAGTGAATTGGCTTGTTGTACAACGTCGTTGCCAAGCGACGAAAACCCCAGCCCGATGGCAAACACCGGGAGAGGGAGGACAACATGATCCACTCGACCACCGTTATGGTTATCGCCAAAAAAAATAAGAGGTAAAACAAAAAGACGGTAACCTGGATGCCGAGCTCACGAAGTGAATTGGCTTGTTGTACAACGTCGTTGCCAAGGGACGAAAACCCAACCCCGATGGCAAACGCCGGGGGGCGGGGG